ATCTGTTCTCTTTCTCTCAATCTGTTCTTCTCCATTCTCCTCAGTTCTTCTCCAGTTTCTCTGTTCTGGTGCCCATCACTTTATCTGACTTTTCTCTCATGTCTGTCTTTCCTCTCCTCTTTCTCCTAATTTCTCTTTCTGACAAATTTTACTAATACCAATTCTCGCTCTGTCTACCTCTGCTTTTCCATGTTCTTGCATCCTGCTCTGCTCCACTGTCTGTATTGTGCTTTCTTGCTCTCCACCACCACTCTCTTTCAGTTCAGCCATTGTGTTCCCCTGTCCCCTCTCCCAATCCCACCTCTGCCCTGTGCTGGCGCTTTCTCTCTCTGCCTCCCTGTTGTTCTCCTCTCTCCCTCTTTCTTGCTTTCTCTTCCTGGTGACCATCACTATTTTATCCTTCTCCATCCCTTTTCCTGATTCCTATTCCTTTCCTTATCTGTCTTTGCCTCCAAGCCTAACCCAGTTGTTCCCTTCCTTGCTTCTCTCTGTCATTCTGTCTTTCTCCCCTGCCCTGTTGTTTCTCACTATACCTATATTATTTTTACTCTGTCACGTTCTGCTTCCTCTCCTTGTCTTTTTTTTTTTTGTCTTTCTGTGCTGTTCCCTGTCTCATCTTTTGAGCTATAACCCCTGACCAGCCTTTGTTTTACTTTCTCAATCTTTGTCCTGTGCCTGTTGCAGTTGTTTTTTCCTCCAGTGCTGTCCTCCTTTCTGTTCCTCTGTTTTTCCTCCCTGCTCTACTCTCTGATCAGCCCTGTCCAGCTCCCTATCCCATGGGTTCTTCTTTTCTCCCTCTGGCTGTCAATTTCTCTCTCATTGCTTGTGCTGTACACCATTTTCCTCAAATTTTCTTCGTTCTTCTCTTGTCTTGCAGCCCACGGGTGCAGGAAGCAACTGTTCCCCATGGGATAGATGTCTGGCCCTCCAGGAGAAGGGGAATGTACGGGGACAGAGCCCTGCTACAGCCTCCTTCCTGGAGTTCTGTGCATGATATGGTAAGATTTTGGTTCTTTTGCTTGTATTTTTGTGTTTGCAGTCTCTGGCCCTTGGTAAATGGCTGTCACCTGCACCTATCAGTGCAGGTTCTGTATTAGGGTGTGTGGAGGGGCAGGTGCTGGGGGGGTGGTTGCTCCATGTTCCTGAAGGGTGGCAGCTGTGGGCTGGGGCTGGAGGGGCCCCAGGTGAGGCTATGAGGGTGCTGATGGGGACACCCCCTCTGGATATGGGTGCGATCCAGCTGCGGTGGGTGCAGGCTGTGGGGCCAGCAGAGGAGGAGGGGGCAACAGCAGTGGCAGTCAGCTGTCCTCACTGCATGCGGTGGCCGTGCTGGGGCTCGTCTGATTGATGGAGGGGCGGCTGCCAAGCGTGGCCAGGGCGGCAGCTGCTACAGGGGAAGGGGTGGCTGGGGCTGGAGGTCTGCGACCCGGGAAGGACAGGCTCGGGGGGCCTCTGCTGGGGCACAGAAAGCCGCGGGTTAGGGGGGAGCCGTGAAACGGGGGCGGGCACCGGGCTGGCCCCAGAGCGGAGGGGGGCGTGCGCGGGAGGAGCTGCTGGGTGCCGCAGGGCCAGGCCCGCCCCGCCGCGTGCTGGGAGCGGCCGCCCCCAGGCTCTGGGCTCCCGGCCGGCCGCGGGGGTTCCGCGGGCATGCCGGGAAATGTCGTTTTCCACTGCTGCTCCCCTTCCAGCCCGGAGCGTCCCGTGGCCAAGAGCATTTATTTCCTCGCAGTGGCGGTGCGTGCGTTTCTCTGCCGGTTTCGTGTGATTTTCTGCGCAGTTTCTCTCCGCTTCTTTTAATGAGAAAACAGGCTGTGAGCCCGAGAAATCAGGACTGGCGCTGCAAGCCGGCTTGGCCCCGCAAGGTGCAGTAGCGCCGCGCCGTGCTGCCGCCTGCTGGCCACAAGGCGGAAGTGCAGGCAAGAGGCGGCAGCGTGGCGCCCTGCTCGCGCTCTGCTGCCACCTGCTGGCCGAAATGGGGTACTGCAGGCAGCACGGAGAACGGCGCTGTTCGGGCACAGCGCAGTAGCGCCCCGTCCTCGCGAGTATGCGCGGCAGCACCCGTGGTCAGCGTGTGCGGTAGCGCCGCCTACCGGACGCGTGCGGTAGTGCCCACACGAGTAGGCACGGCCGTGTACCCCGACGCACGCGCACTACCGCCCGTCCGCGGGCGTGCAAGGTGCCCCCGCGTGTGCACGGCCCCGCTCGCTGGGTGTGGGCGTGGGGGGGCGGGCCGCGGTGCCGCAGGTACCGACCGGGTGCGGTAGCACCGCTGTCAGGGCCGTGCGCAGCAGTGCTCCTCGCTCGCTGCAGCGTGTGTATTGTACCGTGGTGCTGTTCTCTTTAGCGTGTGGTGGTGGTGGGACAGGCGGCTGAGGCGCCTGACACAGAGTTGGTGGATTTGGGCACCTCGAGACGTTGTGCGGGGCCAGGCACCGGGCAGGCGGGGGTGCCGCATGATCCATGGCTCCTGGGGAAAGGACCGTTGTGCCAGCTCAGGGCAGTGGCAGGGGCTGGTGTCGTGCTGGGCTACAGTGCAGTGCAGTGGGGTCTACACTCGGAAGAGCTTTTGGTCCCACCTGGGTGGAAAGTGGAGGGGGTGAACCCTCTGGGTGTGGGTGGCTGCTTCCCATGTGCTCATGGCAGGAAGCAGCAGAAGCCCTGGGGCACGGCAGAAGGACAGCAGACTGGGATCCAGGTCTGCCTGCCCAGGGAAGTTTCCAAGTGACCACTTGGATAGCTTACCAGTCAGCTGGAGGAGGGCTATGAGCCCGGGGCAGGTTCTGGGAAGAAGTAAAACTACCCGCAGCTTATTCCTTCTTTTCCACGGCTGGCACTGAGAGCTGAAAGGTCCTTTTGTCCCCTGCAGCTGCCAGTTGTCTGTGTCTGCCTGAGGCTCATAGAGCTTTGGCCCATGTAAGGTGTGCAAGACTCCACTGTGTTCTTTTGAGTGGGTGACAGATCAGCCAACAGTTACTTACAGAGGAAGCCACATGAGAGAGTGAGAAAGAGTTTGAGTTAGAAATTCTCCCCAGCAGAACCAAGTACAGGAACTGTGATGAGTGTCCTACTGCCCAGCCCATTCCCACTCCCCTCCTTCCTCCTGCATCTTTCACCCTTCCACCTGCTCCTGCCTCCATCTCTTTCTTGTGCTCATCTTCACTGCCCCGGCTCTCTATCCACCTGCCTGGCTGACTGTCCCTTCGTGGGGCTTTACAAACCCTTATTTCTTTCACTGGGGGGATCCCTGCTGCTGTTTGATCAGATAGGGGTGCACACTTGATGAGGAAAATAATACAATATTTAATATGATCTTTTATTGCATTAAGAGTTTTCATTATCTCTAGTCTCTCCAAAATTCAGAAAAAGTGGAAAAACTTGGGAATTCAGGAAAAAATAATAAGCTAAATTATATTAATGGACAGGAAAGAGTAGGGTTGAGGTTATTCCCATCCCTTTTCTTAGCATGTGCCACAGCCATCAATCAGCTTGAAATGCCTATGAGGTACTTACTGGCCAGCCAGTGAGATCTGCATTGCATCTTGGGCCAACAGCAGATGTGAATCTTGATGATAGTGTTTCAGCAACTTCTGTCAAATTATTGGTAAATGTCATTCACAGATGGAAGAAGTCTTCTTGGCCCATATGAATCCAGAGCGCTGTTGCTTCCTAGCAAATGGAGACCAGGTGTACATACAATGCTGCCAAAGGAACTCTCACTGCAATTGCAAGGTCTGTTCTCAGGGCTGTTAACAACACAAATGGCAGTGAGAGCAGAAGAGTCAGACACCTGGATCTCTGCATGACACAACACGAACAGGAAGCAGCCATGCACCAGAAGCAGATGACAAAGCAGGCAGCTTCACAGAGACTAAATGCAGATGGGGGATAGGGAGGCATAAGTATTATTTTTTAGCTTTTAATGTCTGGCAAGTGGATGGTGAGAGGGCTTTCTGTTAATGTAATGGTGGAGGTAAAGAGCTAGATTTAGAGCACGTTATGTAGCTGTATGTATTGTTCTGTTGCCATAGTGTCAATGAAAACATTCTACATGTTCCGTGGGAGTCCTTTCAGAAAACAGAGACAGGACACAATTGATGTGAGCCATAATCCCATACAATATGTGTACCCTGGGAGTCTCACAGCACATGAAACTGCTCCATGGTTGGGCAAAAACACCCCTTTTCTGACTAATTCGTGCTGGCTTCAATTGTGACCTGTGCCCACATGCCTAGAAAGGCCTCCAGAGTCCATGCATGCAGTGAGTGACCAGAACTGTCTCCCCTCCAGCACAATCATGCTCAGTGCTCAGAGTACCTTCCCAGTACAGCAGCGCTGCTCCCTTGGTCACCCTCACGTTGCAGAACCAGGCAAAGACCTGTGGCTCCATATTTTGTAACTCTTGTTTTTAATTCCTCTACCTCTGACCTGCAACCCATAGCTACAGCAAGCAACCACTCCCCATGGGTGTGTGCATATGAATGCTGCTCCAGCCCTGGCTTCTAAGATGCCCCACGTGAAGGTGGAGAGTGTGGGGAGCTGAGGCTATTGCAGAAGTAATCGGCATGAATTAATTAACAGCTGTTTTCTCACTTGCACTCCTTGCAGCGCATGCGATCCCGCCGCACTGGGTAAGTGCCCATCTCCAGAGTCCAGGGGAGCAGATCAAATACCGGGCTGCCAGGGAGGACGTTTCCGCAGGGTTACTCTTTGTTTCACTTGGAGTTGGAGACTCAGGTGTAGATAATGAGGGTGGTGCTCCGAGAACACCCTCCCTGTAGAGATATGGGGCGAATGCGAGGAGGAGGCGGAGCCGCGCCAATGAGCGCGGAGCGAAGGGCGGGCGCAGAGGCTTCGTGGGCGGGGCACGCGGCCGGCGAGGCGCGGGGCGGGGCGGGGCATGCAAATTCGTGTCGGGGCCCAGCCAATCGGGCGCTTGGGGGCCCGAACGGGCCGCTGGGAGGCCCCGGCGCCGCGGCGGCGGGGCGCTTGGGGGTCGCGGCTGCGAGCGGAGCGCGGGCGAGGGCGGGCGAGGGCGGCGGGTTGAGGCCCGGGAGGGCGGGGGCGGGCGGTGGAGCAGTGTCCGTGAGGTCGGGGTGGTGGGCGCGGGAGCGGGCGGCGCGGGGTGGGGGCGGCGGGCATCGCTTCTCGGCCTTTTGGCTAAGATCAAGTGTAGTATCTGTTCTTATCAGTTTAATATCTGATACGTCCTCGATGAGAGGACTTTATATTAAACGGATTTTTGGGCTCGGGAGTTGGATCCGGAGCTTGCTCCCTCCGCTCCGCGCATCGTCCCGGTATTGCAGTACCTCCGGGAACGGTGCACCTCCCTCGGGAGGTTGCTGTGCGAGTGCAAAGACAGAGCTGGCCGCTGGGGAGCGGGGGAACGCGCGGCGCGGGACGGGACGGGGCAGCGGCCCCCGAGGAGCAGCTGCCGCCCGGCCGCCGCAGGCTTCCCGGCTCGGCGGAGGGCACGGCGCGGCCCAGCGCGTGCGCTCGCTTCCCGCCTCGCTGCCCCTTCCGCGGGCCGGAACGGCTCTCTGCCCCCCCGCCAGCGCCTGCCGCCCCTTTGCACCGGGGAAGCGGCCGGGGCGCGGCAGGGGCAGCGTGGTTCGGAAGGTTTTCTTGGCCTTGCAGCTGGGGCTGGCGAGAGAGGGAGTTAGGAGAATCTGATCGGGTAGAGAGAGAGCGCTGGCAGCACGCAACTAGGATGCTCCCTGCTGTCTCTGCCGACTATGCTGCCTTGTGCAAAATAACTAAAGCAAGAAGCCTCGGGCCCCTTGCCGAGGTCACTCTCTTCGTAAGAGTGGGAGCCTGTCTTAAGAAACGGGCAGAAACCGGTCCTGCGCATGGACAGGAGCCAAGGAGCAACCGACTCTGTGCAAAGACAAGAGGGCAGCTAGCGGGGACAAGGAAGAGCCACCAACCTTCAACCCCATGACCCCCGACGACCGCCACCGGGAGACACTGCACGAGCGCGGGTGGGGGGGTGCTTGTGGAAATGACTTCTCGAACTACTTTTAACGTGAGGCGGGGACGGGCTGCGAATACGTGTAGGCGCACTGTGAAACTTCGTGCAAATGTAACTCTTTGCTGCGTAGAACCGCGGCAAATCGCCGCGTCCGGTGCACACGACTTTGGCGGGACTACCCCCCCGTGCTGCCCAGCGCTGAATAAACAGACCTACTTTTGCAGTCTTACTGATTGTGGACTCTGTTTGCCGCAAGTCAGTTTGGCAAGCCGGCCGGGAGAGACGTTCCGCTCGCTCGGCTGCGGGATGGGCTGCGGAGCGGACGCCCCTAGGTGCACCCTGAGCATTTTCCTCGGGGGAGCCTCCGCTCTGAGCCGCTCACCGCGGGAGCAGACAAAGACCTCCTGAGGCCGCGGACAAACGGTAGGCTTTACAGTACAGGAAGGGCCCGTAAGTCGTACGGGTGGCCGGGGCGGCTGGTAAGTCGCGCAGAGACGTCTGGCGTGCAGCAGAGTCCCCGTATGGGAGGAGGGTACGCTACAGGCTGACCGATAGAGATGTCGGGGGGGAGGGGGTCGCTGGCCGATAGAACGGCCGCTAGAGATCTTGGGAGTAGATGGAGCAAATGCGGGGTTACCGCTGCGTCCCAGTTTTGGGAGCCAGGACGGACCTGCTAATGACCGCATAAGAAGCAGGAGAAGGGTAAGCGGGCCTCTCGAAATTGTGACAAGGTTACCCGGGTAATAGCAGCAGCTGCTGGAGGGATGTCAACTGGAGCGGTAGTAATTGCGTGTCTTATTTGTAGGTGTCTGGGTATGTCACGTTGAAAGCATTGGCGTAAGTGTGTGTGTTTGAGACAAAGTGCTGTTGTGAAGTGACTTACGAACACGTTTGATTGTTGTTTTAAGTGATATTTTCTTGTGGTATGAGCGAGGAGTGCAGGGGGCCTCTTTGCGTGACAGCGTGATTGTGCTGGGTGAGCGAGACGCAGCATCACCACGAAGCGAGTGCGGCGTTCCGATCCGCGGTCCCGTATCCTCCGCGAGAAGAGCGGCCGGGGACGAACGAAGCGCACGACATACCAAAAGGAAGTGCTGTTTTATCCAAGTGCTGACTGGTGGTGCCCGATATATGCGCCCGGCGGTGCATCTCGTAATCCCATTTTTGTTCTGAAATGTTTGGAGTGTGACAAGGAGGAAGGTGGCGGCGTTATCTAAGTGACAGTGTAGAAGTTTGGATATATTTGCTGTGGTGTTTGGTCGGTTTCCCAGGTATCGGGGCAGAGGGGCTGACCGATTATCAAAGTGGCAGAACGGAGAGAGTCGCTTCTGTGGTGGTCTGGCCTTGAGCCCTTGGGAATTTGGTAAGAAGGGGGAGAGCAAATTTATTTAGGCCTCAATACCTTTTCAAGCCCCCATATTAATGGATACGTAGGAGTGATTCCTTGTTTTGTGCAAGCTTACTAACAAAGTGCATGAGGAAAATTGGCACTCGGCTTGAAATTCGGCCCTGCTGAAATGTAAATTTTGTGGAAAAGGTGGTTTTGTTTGTCTGGAAGACGGAGGGCTGAGTGCTTCAGGTGTCTTCCTGAAGTCCTGTGGATTTCTGATTGGAACGGGGCCCATCGATAATCTGAAATAGTAACGTTTGTATGTGGACAGAAGAGTTGAATCCCAGAGAACTGGGACATTTGGGAAGAAGATTAGGAAAAGAGAGTAAAAACCCGTCACTGGAGCCCCAGGTGCGGCTAATGAGGGTGGTGATCTGGGCAGCCCCTCCTCATAAAAGGGCTGCACCTGGGTGAGGGTGGCAGCTGTGGGGCTGGTGGAGGAGGAAGGCGATGAGGGGGCTGTAGTTGCAGTTGGTCTGCCTTGCAGCCCCTCTGCTGCTTGGGGCAGCCAAGCTGGGTCCGGAAAGGTCTTTAGAGAAACCTTGGAGCACGGTGAGGCTACTGAGCGTTGCTGGGACCGTGGCAAGGAAGAAGGTGCGTGCAAGCGGGAGTTCCTGGGATCATGGCAGTCCTGGGCAGCAGGGCTGCCTGTGTGCTGAGGCTGGCTGGGGGAGGACTCGCCAAAAGTTGGGGTGGGCGGGTGGGCGCGCGTAGACACGGTGAGCCCCGTATGCGAGGAAAGCCCCGCACATCTGTGCACGTGTTGTCATTCTTTATGAATCTGAGCGACTCTTCCTGTAATGCCCTTGAGTCGACACACGGCAACTGCAGACAACATACAGCAACTAACATTGTACAACCCAAAGGACTGCCTGTTCTCACCCCAGATGCCCTTGAGGGTTTTCAGACTGACCCATACTTCTGCATCAGCTGCCAAGTGCACCCACGTCCTTGAGCAAAAGCAGCCCCATGGACGGCTTTGCCTTTGCCTTAGCCTGAGGCAGGCATAAGTCAGATCGTCTTCACCAGTATGGCTTTTTTTTTTTTTTTTTTTTTTTAATATGCACTGTAAGGACTTTATCCCTTTCTCCGTGTGTAGTGTAGGAGTTTCCATTGGGCAGGGCTAGTTCGATTGGCAGACTAACCAGGTGGCTGTTGCTACATGTGCATCCTACCTGGGCAGCCTGCTCTAAGGAACCTGCTTTGGCAGGGGGGTTGGACCCGATGATATTTCGAGGTCCCTTCCAAGCCCTACAATTCTGTGATTCTGTGATCTGTGGTGGCTTTACCTTTCCAGGCAGTTGATGAACTCCACCGCAACTGCTCTCTCACTCCCCTTCCTCCGAAGAGGAGGGGAAGAAGAAAAGGAAAGGAACAACTCGTGGGTTGAGATAAGGATAATTTAATTAAAGGAAGAAAAATATTAAGGGAAAATTGTTATTAAATAATTTCCCTAAAGGGAAAGGGGGGGGAAAAAAAAAAGGAAAACAAAAGTAAAGGCTGTGTGGAAGTGCAGAGGAAAGAAATTACTCTCTACTTCCCCCCCCCAGTGAGCGATGCTTGACCACGTCCTTGAAGCAGGGCCTCAATGCACATAGCCGATGTTCGGGAGGACAGATGTTCTCCCCACGAGAGCCCACCCCTCCCCTCTTCTTCCACTTTTATTGCTGAGTGTGACACCATACGGTATGGAATATCCCTTCGGTTGCTTTACGTCAGCTGCCCTGCTGATGTTCCTTCCTCCCCTCTCGCCCGCCCCCAGGCCTGCTGGCTCTGGGCGGGGGGTTGAGGGAATCCTGACCCTGTGCCAGTATTGCTCAGCAGTAGACACAGCTCTGGTGTGATACCAGTGCCGTTCTAGCTACAAGTGCAGAGCACAGCACCGTGTGGGCTGCCGCAGGGAAAGTTATCTCCATCCCAGCCAGACCCAGTACAGCATCCCAACGGTTGAATGGCTCAGCACCCATTGCTTTTAGCGTACTCTTTGTCAGTCTGTTGCTGTTTGTTTGTTTATTTATTTTCCCTGGACACTGGTGCAGGAGAAGGGATGTGGTATACCCGTTCAATGCCATGCTCTTTGGTCCAGGTGTTTGAGGTCATTGTGGAAATGAATCCCACTGTCTGATTCAATTATTTCTGGTGTGCCGTGTTGACATGGGACTGCGAGAAAATGTCGCGTTTTTGCAGTAGAATGTGTTTTTGCAGTGGAAAATTCCACTAAGCTTGCGTATCCAGAAGTGCTTGTGCAGGCACGACAGCAGCCCAGCAGTGGAGAGTACGTTAAGCAGGTAAGGGGAAGGTCCCACTGTCCCAAAATAAGGAGGACGGGTAAGAAAAGCAGGGCAAGCAGTGCAAAATCACTAGAAGCAAAAGATCGTGGGCCCTGTGGTCACAAGAGAAGATGGGCGGAAGGAGAAATTAACGGTTGGTCAAGTAAAACTGGATCTGTGCGGTACAGCGACAAGTGTTGAGTAGCTCATGAACCTGTTGCACTCAGCCAGGGAGGAAACGGGAGGAATCAAGCCTCGGTTAAGAGGGTTATAATACAAGGTTATGATATGCTTTTGCGGGTTGCTCCCGCTTGCAGGACCCCCGCCGCTGTAATCGTGAATAAAACAGCTTTGCAGAAGACGATGTCTCAGCAAGTTATTGAGTTGTTTTTGTTTGTTTGTTTCTTTTTTTCCTCCCCTCACAAGACTTGCCTTTCAAAGCCCAGGACGGTGTTCCGGGTGGAAAGCTACGTTTCCAGGGGAAGGAGGGGAAGGCGACAGGGCCTGGCCGCGACGCCGGGGCAGGGGGAGCCCCTGCAGCTGCTGAGCTTCGGCACAGCTCAGCGCCACGCAGCCGTTTCCTCGCTGCCTCAATCTCACCC